CAAGCATGAGCCACTCTACGCAGCCCAGAGGGAGGCTCCAAGCTTCAGCCTCTGGTCACCTAAATCCAGAAAGGAACAAGAAGCCTGCACAGGAGACTGTCACCACTGCAGCACTTCAGACTGGAAGCGACCACCCCGCTCCTGGGGCATGTTGCTCCCTAAATGAGGGCCTGCGGGACAGGCTGGTCTGCAGCAAAGAAAATGTCCAAGCACAAGCCTCTACAACCCCTGTGCTGAACAGAGTTTTTCAGTCTGATGGAAGCAATCTCGGGAACAAAAGGTTTTTGGCTCACAGGCAAAGCTCAGCCACGATGTCAAGAACCATCATGGGCCCAAAGGACAGAATTAATAGCCACCAGGCTAAGGAAGAGCCGATTCAGGATAAAGTCAGGAAAACCCTGCCAGGCTCAAAGAGTGTGTCTCAAAAACCAATTATCAAAACTCAGCCCTTGCAGCCCCCTCAGTTACTTACTACTTCTACTAATTTGCTACATAAAAACCCAGGTGCAAACCAGAAACAAACGAATACAGCAAGACAACCCATAGGAAAGCCACTTGGCGTACTTCCAGTGGGAAATCTTAACTACCACAGCAGACCCCCCCAAACGAAAAGATCTCCCACAAAGCCTGTGGCCTCCAGCAGGCCCCAGGGACCCACAACCCTGAAATCCAGCCTGAAACCAGGTGGCACCACGCAATGGCAAAAGCCCACAGCTAAAGGGGAGGTGGATAGGAAGGACATGAAGGTGGTGCCTCCTGGACCCACAGCAGCATCCCAAGTGACAGTCCCCCAAAACCAGCCTCGCAGCACACACAGCTCCAAAACTCAAGCAACTGAGAGTGATTTTAGGAGTAGGAGAGAGAGGCTTAAACCAGAGCTGCCGAAGGCAAGTGGAATGCAGGCTAGGCGTGTTCCCAAGACCCCGTCGGCTGCAGATCGTAAGTGAGTAGCAGCTTTGGCTGAGACTGTCCTCGCCTCCAGGGGACAGCAGAGTTTAAAGTGTTTAACTGGGTGAACCAGCACTGACCTGTTGGAAACAGGGTCTAAAGTCCTCTTATCAGTGAATGCCTGTTTGGAGGTTGATGCCCCAGAAAAGAGGAGGGTGGGGATGAGATTTGGTGGTACCCTGGGTTCCTCTCCCACTGATTCAGCAAGTGGGAGGGGAACATGCAGCCGCTGTCCTGTTTTATCTTCAAGGCACGCTTAAACTTGAGAGGGTTTTCCTTTCCCAGCCTAGAGCTCAGATAGATACATTTTTAGGATAGATGAACTGGTTCTTCCTGAGCAGCTGAAGTTGGCTAGAGGGAGATTCTAAGGGAAAACAGTAGCCTGGTGAGTGCTGGCGGTCTGCTGGGGTGGTAACAGTGATCCCCTGGTCCTTTGACAGGAAACAGCTGCAGGAGTGGTTGGCATCCAAAGGCAAGACATACAAGCGGCCACCTATGATGCTGCTTCAGAAAGAGGCAGTGAAGCTGTCCTGCAGAACTGTCAAGGAGAAAGAAGAGCAAAAGAAACCAGAGCAGCTCTGCCTGGAGAAGATCAACAACATATTAACTGAGTGCCTGAAGCTCATTGAGGAGGTGGGAATGGGAAAGGAGATGCTTGAACAGGCTCCTCTTCTCCCAGAGCATCTCAGGAGAGGAGGGCCATGTCCCCAGAGCAGCATAGAAGGGTTTGGAGCAAGCATTCTTGCTCGCTTAGCTGCAGTGGCCAGAGGGGTAACATCATGTGTAGGACAATTAAAAGTCCTCGTGGAGTTACAGATAGGCCAAAGGCATGCAGCGAGATGCACTAACAGGAAAAGAGAGCAAAACCCGGTCACAAGACTTGTGTGTGTCATTCCTGGTACCTGGCAGTGCAGTCTGCAGCAGAAATTTCTGTGGCAGCAATCCAGGCTGATTGAGCCAGCACGAGGTATATCCCTGGTGGACCTTACAGCTGCTGTGAATTATCACCTCTGGGAATGCTGACCACTAGCCCCGCTCTGGGGTTTAGTGGCTCTGTTAGTGCCAGCACTGAAGAGTCTATCCCTTGACAACCCTCTGAAATACTAGACTCATTTTACCAAGGGGAAAATAGAGGCAGTAAAGCTATTATCTGTACATGGTCACTCAGGAGACTTGCAAAACCAGACTCTTCAGACCCTCCTTTTCCTAGAGAGTGCTGGGAGAGTGGTTATGCACTGACAGCTTCCCCAGTGCACACCTTTGGCCCTTGCTCCCCTTCTCCTAGGGTGTCCAGGCAGAGGAGATCTCTGCAGTGCTGTCCCATGTGCCCCAGGCAGAGAAATTTGCCAAGTTCTGGACCTGCAAAGCAAAACTACTTGCCCGGAGCGGCCCTTTTGACGTGATGGGGTTGTACAAAGCAGCAGTCTGCGCTGGTGCTGTGGTGAGTGAGGCATGCTTCTCTTCAGTAGCTCCCCATGTTCCCCACCTCTGCAGCAGCAGGTTTCCTCAAGATCCAGGGATTGGATTTTGGGATGAGTTTAGCAGCACTAATCAGCAGTGAAAAAGCCTTTTGAGCTGCTGGTTTTGTCCCACAGAAACACCTCCCGCTTTCATCAGCCAAGCAGGCAGTGCTGTGCGGGCATGCACAGGGTCAGGGGGAGGACACGTGCGTACTCCGCGCCGTGTTGGAGCTGTAGCTGGAAGCAATGTGACAGCAGTTCTGTGCTGTTCTGGGCGGTGTAACTGCAGCATCTGGTGGGATTTACCCACGCGGGGTTGATGGCTGCTTAGCTGTGCCTGCGTGCTGACAGATCTCACTTAGAGAAGGGAAATTCTGCAGCCTTTTGCCACTGTCTCCAGCACAGGGTGTTGCGATGCAGCAAAAACCTTTTCTCCTATTCAGTTATAACTCCAGCCTCCATTCCCAAGTGAGGCCTGCCTTGACCCGCATTTTGCTTTTCCTGTAGCCACTCCAGGAGCTCAGAGAAGTTGTCCTTGATATTTTGAAGGCTGCAGACCAAACATCAGAAGGTAATGTGAATGTGGGGGCAGGCTAGAGCATGGGCAGCCTGGGGTTCCCTGCCACTGCACGCTGGGAAGCAGCATGGTTTGCAGTCTGTCCCAGCACCCTGTGTCCTTGTTGACTTTGATGGAGACCGAGTGTTGTGAAAGTCCGGAATCCTGATCCTCAAAAATTGGGCAAGATTCCTCTGCCAGGGCTGGGCACAATCCCGGCCCAGCATGCCTCTGTAGCAAGGTGCCCTCGTCCACGTCTGGAGCACTGCAGTGTTGAAATCCCTCCCCAGCTGCCGCTCTCTGCAACAGTGCTGCCCTTTTCCTCTCCTGTCAGGGGAAAAGGCTGAGCAGCCCATTCCTTGGGAGCCTACAACGCCTTGCCCGAGTGAGAGGCAGCAGGTGGTAGCAACTCCCTGCATGACGGGGAAGCCCCTGACCAGCCTGCCCATCTCAATCAAGTTACAAGTTACGTCTGCATCCAGGTAAGGCTGAGCTGCCTGCTCCTGGCAGCAAGTGCCCTCTGTGACAGCACTCCTCTGCAGGGTTTATCTAAAGGGTCTTGTCTTCTCCGCAGAGGAAAGGAGTTACTGGAAGGCCAGGAGCTGAAACTCGTGACACCAGTGCGGCGCTCGCTGCGGATAGGGTGGGCTGGGAGCCGCTACCCAGAGATGCTGAAGGACCATGACCCTGTGGTGTCATCCCTCAGTGAAATCCTGGATGCTGAGGAGGAGACTCAGTTCTTCTTCCGGAAAAACAAGGCTTTGCCAGAGGTGACGGAGCTGGAGGGTTTGAGTTTGTATCCCCCAGAGTGCTGCTGAAGGATTCCCGGCGGGGTGCAGGCTGCTTGCTTCCCCATGCTGCCTTGCACATGCTCCGCTGACTTCTTTTGCCTCACAGATGTAAATATGTAGCGGTGGCACATAATAAGCACTGTTTCAAATATATAAGCGCTGTTTTAAATATATAAAAACTTGCAGTAGAGATGTAGCATGGCCTAGTGAGTAGTGTGCAAGGTCTGGGGTTGGAGATGGGCTGTGTCCTCTGGGACTGCCCTTGGCTCCTCTGCTGTGACGCATGCCCCGATTTTCCTGCTGTAGGATGATGTCAGTCAGATTCCGCAATGCTCCAGGCACCTGCCGGTGTTTTGCAAGCAATGTCCTGAGGGATTTGCTCCAGAGCTGTGTTGCACCCTACCCAGACAGCATCTGGATGTTCCCCACTGAGAGGCTCACACAGACCCCATGTCTCGTGTCTCTCATAGCACCACCAGCTACGCCAGACTGGTGAGGGGCCGCAGGGCCTGGGGTACCTGCGGGACCACAGCAGCTCCCACACAGGCCCGGAGGACAGTGAAGGTGGCACATGCAAGGGGCGCAGAGGTCCTAGGGACGCAGCAGTGCAGGCTGCCAGCCCCCTGGGCATGGCTGGGGGTCTGGGACAGGCCAGCGAGGGCAGCTGAGCCCTATTAGTGCGCTCAGGGCCCCTACAGTGGCTTCACCTCCCTCAAGGGCTGTCCTCGCACCGAGAGCAAGTGGTGGCACAAGGCAGCTGGTGACAAGACTGTTCCGGATGCATGCATAACCAAATCCAACAGGTGTTAAAACTCAGATTTATTCTTCAGTAAAAGTTAATTAGAAGTCCGGTAACATTTTATAAAACCACAGCCTCGATGATGTAAAGAGAATTAATACTACACAGCCGACTTAAGAATCCCCAAGATTTAAAGTAATGGCTCCAAAACGCACATATCACTCACCCAAAAGCTGAGTGCTCTCTCCCTTGAGGAGTTATGCTGGGTAGTGCCCCGACCCGAGGGGGAGTCTCCGCCTGCAGACCCACCACTCCGAGGAGGACTAACTCCAATGTGTCCTCCGGCGGGACCCCCTTTATAGCCCTGTCAAATCCCACCTGTGGGCATTTAATCCCTATTAGCCAGGAGGGTCACCTCGGTGCACCTGGTGGGTCTCTATTGGCCAGTTCAAATTTCAACCTGCGCTCTCCACGATTTAGGCTTTTTTTTTTTTCTTCCCCTTCTCCCTGCCTGGACAAGTTTCGTTTCCTGCTGGTGGGATGGGGCGGGGGGACAGACGACTGTACTGCTGCAGGGACTGTTGCTGTGGTTTGGGATGGTTTCCCTGCTGTGAGGAGTAAAGCGGTGCGGCTGCCATGAAGGGTGGAGGGGAGCCCTGTCATCATGTCCCTGTCCCCAAACAGTGGTCCAGTCCTCATCCCACCCTTTTGCCTCCTCCTGACACAGTCACCACCACCGTTGGGTCAGCATCTTTATTGAGAAACCTTGATGCTGGAAGAAGTCTTAGAGCAGTAGCTGGAATTCCTGGCACGGGTCTGCAGAGGGTGGCAGGCCTGGCCCCCTCCTCTGGTGTGCAGGACAGTGCTGGCAGAGTGGGGGTGTCTCAGGGCTGCCACCCTCTGCCCAGGGGCTTGCACTTGTCCCAGCTGCTGGCTGAGGATTTGGGAATTGCCCTTTGCCCCCACCTCCCAGGCTCAGGGGCAAAGCAGTTTTCCTTTAAAATAGCCAATTTTATGTCTCCGTGGTGCCAGGAGTTTGAGCATCTTTTATATATAGAAACGGGTAGAAAACAGAAGAGGGTAATAGCGAGTAAAAGGGATTTCCAGGGAGCAGCAGTTGCCTCCAGAGCCCTTCTGTGCTTGAGCAACATCCACCCACCTCCACCAGGAGCCAGGCCCCAGTGCCGTGGTGCCTGGGCCAGGCACTGAAGCTGGAGGGGCAGGGGCTGCTGGGACCACCGATCCGTCCAAAGCAGGTTTCCAGTGATACCCGCAGCAGTGGCACTGCCGGCTCTCCCTGGCATTGGGCGGCCCCAGGCTGGTGTCGAGCGGGCTGGGAGAAGCAGCTGATGCTGGTGAGGGGACCCATGAGTGAAAGTGGGGGCACGGGCAGCCTGTGGGCTCTGGGGGGCCCTTCTCCCAACTCCTGGGACAGTCGGGAGAAGGGCAGTGCTGCACGGGGAGAGGTGTGACATGGGGCATGGGCTAGGGCCACCAGCTGTCCTTTGGCCACTGGAGGTGGTAGCTGACCACGGGTGGCTTCGGGCTGGCAGCACAAGTGGTCCGGGGCCACCGAATGCCCTGCTGGGGGCTGGCTACTGCCAGCTCAGCAGCCGTCGGCGCTGGGGTGGGCTCAGGCTTCTCCATCATCCTCCTCCTCCCCGCTGGAGTCCTGGCGTACCCCAGCAACCTGAGAAGGAGGTGGGGGGCTCAGTGGGCACAGGACCCCACTGGCATTGGGTTACTGGTGCTGGGACCCCTCTGCCCTTCTGCTCCTCAGTCCCCTGCCACCCACCTGCTGGCCGGGGTGGCCATGCTGGGCCAGCCAAGGTGCCAGAGCCGTGCCTGCCTCCCCTGCGTCCAGGCGGCCGTGCTCCACCGTCGACTCGTGTGCCATCTGTGGCAGGGAGAAGGCTTGCAGAGAGGGGCCAAGCACCGACCAGCCAAGGGGTTGGGTGCCCACCAAACGCCTCCATCATCCCTGTACCTGCCTCCCCACCCCAGGCAGGGAGGGAAACTGAGGCACGGTGGGTAAGCAGGGGGGGCTGGGAGCTGCATACCAGGACAGGGGGTGCTCGGAAGAGGTAGCTGAAGGGGTAGTAGAGGAAGTTGATGAAGGAGGCAGCATAGAGGTCTGCGTAGCGCATCAGCTGGTTGGCGAAGAGTGTCTGGCGCGAGCCGCAGCGGAAGAGGCTGCCCATCTTCCCGTAGCACATGTCCATCTCGTGCGTGACTTTCTGCGCATGCAGCGGGTTGGGTGGTCAGGGCACCCAACACCCCCCCCAGTGCTCCCCCCTCCAAGGAGGAGGAGGAAATCTGTGGGGGGGGCTGAGCCGTGTGCCGACTGGGATGGTGCCCCAGGCATCACCTGGATGCGACGCTTGATGGAGCTGATGTCCGGGCGCTCGCTGCTGCCACTGTCCAAGTGCCTGGAGTGGGAGAGACCCGGCTGGGGGCTCGCCTGGAGGGTCCCCCATGGGTGCCTGCACCCCCCCCGCCCCATGCCCCCTGCCCGCCCAGTGCCCACTCACTGGTACAGCTCCGCCAGGAAAAGGTCCAGGCTCCGCAGCTCCTCAAACAGCTCTGCAAGTGTAACAGGGCCAGCTCAGTGCAGGCAATGTCCACTGCTGCCCAGCACAACTGACACGGGGTGTCCGGGCACACCACACCGGGGCTGGTTTTGCCATCAAAGAGGGGGGGAAGGAGGCTCCAAGCCACCTCCCCTAGCTGGGCTTGGCTGTGTCCCTGGCCGGGTGCTGCTCACCGCTCTTCTCCGTCCAGACCTGCAGCTCGCGGGCCAGCTCTGGCACCACCAGGAAGGTACGCCAGCCCTGCCGCTTCTTGGACTTGAGGATGTCCCCAAAGATGTGGTCCCCCATGTAGAGGATGTCTTTGCCCTTCACGCCCAGCAGGTCACACACCACATCCGAGGAGCCTGCGACAGCCAGAAGTCAGGGTGACGGTGTGGGCACGTTCCCCTGAGCTGTACATGGAGCCCGGCCGGGCGCTCACCGCCGGAGTAGACGGCGCAGTGCTGGAGTGGGCCGGTGTACGTCCCAATGCGCAGCTTCCCCGTATCCTACGAGACAAGAGGACCCCAGGACGGGGAGTACTGTTACCTGTGCCTGCTCAGTGCCCACCCAATTGCGAATCCACCCCCCCATGCCTGCGGGAGCCCTTGTGGTGCCCAGACAGTGCCCACTGGCCCCATGGCAGTGGAGAGGTCCCCACCGTGTTGACTTGGCGCAGGACAGTGCCCTCAGCGAAGAAGAGTGGTTTGCGGGTGTCCACCACGATGAGGTCGAAATAGGATCGCCAGGGGCGCTGCGGGGTCTCGGCCTGCTGGGTGTCAGGTTGGGGGGGCTCAGGGAGGGGATGCCAATGGCACCCTGCACCCTCCACCCGTCCCACACCGGGGGCAGACTCACCTTGTGCCCATCGCTGAAGTCAAACAGGTAGGACATGATGGCCTGCAAGGACACCCGGCATCTCCACCACTGTCACCAGGGAGGGCAGACCCCTGCCTGCGCTCTGCCACCCCCAGGGCCCCCCCAGGGCAGGCTGGACCCGGGGGTGGGGGGGTGAGACACACAAGACAGACACACACACCCCCTACTCACGTCGGTGTAGTTATAGTCGCTGTTGGTGGCCAGAAAGACCTTCCCCACCTCCTTCATGCGGCTCAGCAGCAGCGGCACCCGGGGCTGGCAAGGGGAAAGTCAGGATGGGGGGTCTGGGGGGGCCACGGGGACCCAGCTGAGGGGACCAGAGTAAGGAGAGGTCCACAGGGAGGGGGGTCCGCAGACACTCACATCCTTCACCACGTATTTCTCCAGGTTCTCCAGTGTCTTCTCCTTTAAGCAGCCCTGCAGAGGGGATGGATGGTCTGGCCAAAACCTCCCTGGGGGTGGGGGGTGTCCCCAGTACTCTCAGCATGCCCCCCAGCAAGCCCCCCCC